ATCTCAAAAAAACGAAAAAATAAAAATAAATACAAAATGCATAAAGCAACAAGTAGCAGAGTAATGAAAGTTTATTTAGAAATAGGGAGTTACAGGAGAAACAAATATTGAGGACTGGGAGGTTGGTCCAACAACCATCTCTTGCATCCTAACTTTTTAAAAGCTTTTGGTAGTACATAACAAGCCAAGAGTAGTGATGCATGCCTATAATGGCAGAACTCTGAAAGGTTGAGACAGAAAGATAACAAGTTCAAGTCCAGCCTGTGCAACTGTAACATTAAAGAGAGAAAACATCAACAATAACAAACTGCTGAAGACTCAAAGGCAAAGGAATTTAAAATGGTGGGGAAATCAAGGCAAAGGTAGCCTTAACTCCATTCACAAAATGCACCTATAGTTTAGGCAGTAGCAACTTTTTCCAATAGAGGAAAACATACACACATGCACACACGCACACAGAGCAAGAGAGCAAGCAAGCAGGAGCAACCCACTGATTCAGAGTATAAATGGAAGCTTACTGCTTTCAAGAGACTAATAATTTGGGCAAGAAATAAGCACTTGAGGTAGCCCTTCCAAACACGTCCTCAGACCAAAATAACTGCCAAATACAATAAGCAGCCTATTCTAGTACTTGGGGCTAGTTCTACAAGGAGCAGGAAAACAGTATACCCCAATCTTTCTATAGAAATCCTGGTTGTAGCACCTGCCAGTTTATGTTCCAAGATAATTATTAGTAGTATTCCTAAATGCAAATTGAAACAGTGAGATTCCACCTTACTCCTGTAAGAATGGCCATTATGAGGACTCAAAAAACAACAAATGAAGAAGTTTTGGGGGTGAGGGGGAGAACTCCCCCCCACACACACTCACACAACATTGGAGGGAATGTACATTGATACAAATGTAAGATAGTACAAACACTTTGAGAATCAGTATGGACATTTCTCAAAAAACTAAAAATAGAAATTCCATTTGACCCAACTATGTGTGTCCTGGATACCTTCCCAAAAGAGCTAAAGTTATCCTACTATACTGATACATACATACCCATGTTTAAAGCAGCAGAATGCACAATAACTAAATCATGAAAGCAACCTATAACCACATCAACTAATGGATGGAGAAAATGTAGTATATGTACACAACGGAATACTACTCAGCCATAAAGAATGATAAATTTGAGTCATCTGTAGGAAACTGATGGGTTGAGGCTATTATGCTAAGTGAAATAAGTCAGTCACAGAAGTATAAGTATTTCATGGTCTCTATGATATGAGACTCAATATACAAACAATTTAAAGAACAAAATAAAGAGCCATGTTAAAAAGAGAGGCTCTATAAAGATTAGAAAAGGATCTAGGGAAAGAGGGAGAGGAGAGAACAATGGGGCAAACATATACTAATTAAAACCAAAAAAAAAAAAGAAAGTTTGAGCTGGGCACAATAGTACACACCTTTGGTACCAACTACTTGGAAAGCTGAGATAGGAGGATGGCTTGAGCCCCGAAGTTCAAGACCAGCCTGAACACAGATCCTGTCTCAAAAAAAAATTTTTTTTGGATAACAGGAGCCTGGATATGGTCACACATGCCAGTAATCCCAGCGCTCAGGAAGTTGAGGTGGGAGGATCACAAATATGAAGCCAGCCTGGACTACACAGCAAGACCCTGTCTCAAAAACAAAAACAAATTTTTTTTTATAAACTGTACAGTCACCTTTCATAGTAGGGTCCTCTTTGTTTTGGCTAACGAGGAGTTCCTGCTTTATCATTCCCCCTCCACATCCATTTCCCCCATAAAAATAATTTCTAGCCACACAGGAATGAAAACTCATTTCAGCTTTGTAAGCAAATCAACCTGCAAGATTTCATAATATAAATGAATTGGGCCAGGGATTTAGCTCAGAGCTGCCACCACCTGCCTTGCAAGTGCAAGGTCCCAAGTTTGATCCCCAGTACCAATAAATAAATAAGAATCACCAGCAACCACAAGACACGTTTTCTTATTTAAAAAAAAAAAAAAAAGTAAAACAAGATGGCCAGTATGAATACATATAACAAGTACAATAAGAGACTCAGAAAAATAAATCAAGAAATGGAAAATAGGGCTGGGATTTAGCTCAGTGGTACCCCACCTGCCTCAAAAGCCCAAGATCTTAAATTCGACCCCCAGTACTGCCAAAACAAAACAAAACAAAAAAAACAGAAAATAATTTCAATCTTAAACACAGAGGAACTACAAACACAGAGGAATGTTCTATTCTAAGGAATACAGATTTGTTAAGAATTCATAATTTAAAAGTCAAATATTTCAGAAGAATTTATGTAGAAAATTATTAAGTATTGAGTACAAAAAAATACATACTATTTATACATTCTAAGAAACTACTGAAAATAATATATATATAAATATATATATAAGTTTAACATTAAAATATACATATATATCATGTTTGTATTATATGTGTGTATCCTCTTTGATTTTTGAGAAGCTCTGGTTTCCATAAACAACCACAACCTGAAAACTAAAACAAAGCAACAATCACTGCACAGTGGTTAAGAAAATGTGCTTTAGAACCAGATGCATGAGTCCATAAGGCAGCTTTAACATTTATTAGCTTAAACTCTCACAGCTTCAATTAATCTGTAAAGTGGGGTTAGAAGTACACAATTTAAATTGCAGTATTTTATGTATTTAGATGATATATGCAATGCACTGAAAAATACAGCTGACTAAAAATAATCACCAAATAAATGTTGACTAATGTCACTATTATTTGTGTAAAATAAAAATAAGATTACTAAAATAAATTCAATGGAAGCAACTGGAATAAAAATTTGAAGGATGGGCCAGGGATTTAGCTCAGTGGTTCTGCCACCTGCCTCTGTAAGGTCCCAAGTTCAATTCCCAGTACCAAAAAAAGAAAAATTAAAATTAAAAATTTGAAAGAATCTGTTAAAATGAAAGAGTAAACACTGCAGGGGAATGTGTGTGTGTGTGTGTGTGTGTGTGTGTGTGTGTACATGTCATTATATATAAACATGTATAATGGATTACATATAAATATATATAAAGTAACTAAGGATTAATCCAGAAAGATTAACAAGACTCCTTTCCCAAAAATAATTTTTATAAATGCGAAAAAAATAGTAAGAAAAAGCCAGAAATTTTCAAAAATCAAGGAAAAAGGAGAAGATTCAAAATAAGATTAAACACCAATAAAGAAAATTAGATTTCTGGTATCTGAAACGTAATAGTATAAGGGAACAACATTCTGAGGCTAAATTATTTTCAACCTGGAATTTTACATTCAGACATATAAATGTTTAAGCAAATGAGGATGTATTCCTAACAGCTTGTGATTTAGAAGGTGAGAAAAACCATCTGAGCTTGGTGGTATACACCTGCAATCCCAGCATTAGGGAGGCAGAGGCAGGACAGAGTTTTCCAGGCTATTGGAAAGTGCTGTCTTAAAACAAAAGAAAAGGTGAAGAAAACACTCACTGTTAGTCAAATCCTGTGCTTTTAAAAACCTTACCTTCACTAGCACATTAACTGAGGTTCAACAATAACTTGCTTTCTTACCTGGGCCAAAAAGTATGTTCTATGATTTTGTCTAAAGTTTCCTTAAGATGTAAAACTGAGGTGTGCAAAATTTGCATATTTGTTGGCATCTCTGATTCTCACAACTTAACCAATTGTATTAGTTCATCCCAATAGCTAAGGGGACAAACCAGTGAGTGGTTTTGTAAAGTTAAAAGATTGCAGGGCCAGGGATTTAGCCCAGTGGTTCTGCTGCCTGCCTCACAACTGCAAGAACCCGAGTAAACAAACAAACAAAACACCAAAAACAAAAGATTGCAGTTGACATATGCAAAGTACAATCTTTAATATTTAAATTCTAATTACTATTGAGAAAACAAGCCTTCAATGTCATGGTGTTTTTTTCAAGTACTGTTCTAACTCTATACAAGCTCTATACAATTTACAGTTTCAGAAAAAAACTCAATGCAGTATGAGTTTACACGTTATGTTTAAAAATTAGAAATGTCTCCAAATAAGTCAAAGTAGCCTTTCTTGAAACACAGACAAAGACAATTTTGCCTAAAATTATCAGAAATTTGTGCTCAATCTGTTGTGATTTAGAAAGCAAAGGAAGAAATTTAGCAGAAGCCTCACCTTGGCCTCCAGGACCAAAACGTATTCGGTAAGGGCTTAAGAGACTGTTTCTTTAAATTAACACTAACAGGCCTTGTTGTCCCTGGAAACTTTAAGCAACATCATTCCTGAAAAAACTAATGTAACCACTGTTCCCAAGCAGCAAGACTTTATAGAAGCAGAAGCAGGGTTGTGGACAGGCCCGGGCCAGCCCCTCCGCCCGTCCCGGATCAACCAAGTCCCGGATCAACCAAGTTATGCGAAGTGACTAACTCGTGACAGCCTCGAGTGCTGGACGCTGGCCATCGCTTTCAGGTCCCACTGCTCCAGTAGCAGCCTGGCCCAGGACGGCTGGATGCACTGATCTCACCTCTGGACGCTGAAGTGACAGGTCAGAGTCCTGCGGGAAGATTCCCTTTCCAAACTCCTGCCTCGGGTTAGGATGGGAGAGGGAACCTCAGTCGGACTTCACAAGGGGCCTGGGTTTTCCCACCTACTCCCGGGTTGGGGTCTTGGATGGGTGGGAGAGCTTCCGATACGGGTCTGCAATCATGCAACACTCGAGTCCCCGGCACTTATCTCAGGCCAGGGCCAGGCATTAAGGGAAAACTGAGGTCTGGGGTCACGACAGAACCGGCCATCCCATCCAGGTATGGAGTTTCAGGATGGAGGAATCCGGATCAGTAGTCCGAGAGGACCTGGGCCGCCCTAAACGCACTGTCGGGTTCCGGAAGAGTTCTGATTAGAGGTCAAAAGTCCTAGAGCCAATTTCTCCTCCTCCTCAGCCCGGGCCAGCGTCCCGAAGGGTCCGGAGCTAGAAGAGAAAAGCGGCGGCCTACGTACCTGAGTAGGAGTTAGCGCCTGCTGGAGCTGCTGCTGCTGCTGCTGCTGCTGCTCTTCACTGATCTTTTGCTTCAGTTTCTTGAACATGATGTAGCGCGAGTCCTGAGTGCAGACGAGACCTGAGGGAACTGAGGCCGAGGAGTCCCGGCCGCGGCGGCGAGGGCGAAGGCGACTTCTTTACACCAGGCACCGCGGGGGCTGGGCCTCGCCACCCGCTCTCGGAGCTCGCGGGAGAACCGGGACAC